AGGTGCCCAGGTCAAGAGAAGGGCCGCAATGCTGCAGGTGTGTATGGACAGGGGGCCCAGGGGTCAACAAACAGTCAGATCTCCAGGAGGTGGGACATGCACGTGTGTGCGTGCGTGTGTGTGCGTGCATATGCGTGTGCGTATGTGTGTATATGTGTGCTTGTCTAGGGGCCAGGTGCCCAGGCCAAGAGAAGGGCTGCAACGCTGCAGGTGCGTGGGGACAAGGGCCCAGGCCTCACCCACCTCTCAGGCCCGTCCTTGGCCCTGCTCTTCCTGTCTCTTCGGGCCATCTTGGACCTGTGGCTGCCCTTGCGTGCGGGGCCCACTCTGATCGATGTGTTCTCAAAGGGCGTTGTTGAGATGGAGACCTTGCTCCCGCTCTAATGGGCACAAGGTGGGCAGGTCAGTTAGCAGCAGCCAAAGGGAAGAAAGGCCCTATCGGATCTGGGCCCGAGCTGAGGGAGCCTCAAGAGACCATCTTATCCAATGCCCTCACTTTACAGAAGGAGAAACTGAGGCCCCCAAAAGGAGAAGTGACCGACCCAAGTCGCACACAGAGCGCCCAAGTGTGCCCTGCCCCTGGCTGCCTCCTAACTTTGGGAGGCCATCACACCCAGGGAGCCATGAGGAGACTGGCATCCAGAATAGCCAATACAATTCTAGGCTGCGATCGGAGAGGGACGTGAAGGTGCTGCTGCCCTCGGCCTGGCTTGGTTATTAATTATTCTAATGAATTATTCTGAGTATCTCAGCCAAGAGAGACAGAGAGACAGACAGAGAAAGAGAGAGAGAAAGAGAGAGAGAGAGAGAGAGAGAGAGAGAGAGAGAGAGAGAGACAGAAGCACAGATAGAGAGAGAGAGACAGAGATACAGAGAACGAGGTAAGCTCTGGTGAGGGAGGGCATGGCAGAGCACACGGGGGAAGGGCAAAGAAAGGAGGAACACAAGCATTTTTGTCACTGGAGTTGACTACAGACCACCCAGGTGAAAGGAGGAAATGGATGAAGTTTGGCAAAAGGCTTGCCCGCACTCCCGGCACTCCTGCTGCAGGGCTCTCTGACAGTTTCATCCTTCTGAAGACGGAGGACCGATAAGGGGCAGCAGGGAGGAGCGAGGCTGGAAATGAAGGAATTGTGGGGGAACGTGACCCCTCCTCAAGACGAGGTGAAAGAAGAAATACGCCAACATGCCCCACTTTGAGAAATATTAAGAACCAGGCATTTCTCCAGCCTGCGGTCTCTGCCACACGTACCTGAGTGCTGCATCATCACCACCATCATCACTACAGCTAACGTTAAAGGGTGCCTACTACACACCGGGCCCTGTGCTAAGTGTTTACAAATATTCTCTCGTTTCATCCTCACAACAACCCTGAGAGGCACATGCTGTTGTTATCCCCATTTTGCATGAGGAAAATGAGGCAAACAGAGGTTCAGTGACTTGCCCAGGGTCACACAAGTAGTAAGTTCATGAGGCTGGATTTGAACTCAGGTCTTCCTGACTCCAGGTTCTTTGCACCACCAGCTGGTGGGCCAAATTTTTAGGAAAATAATGCCCTGCACGGAAACTTTTCTCCTTTACCAAAAGCCTAAATATCTCTAAAGTGGAAAGGGATTTAAACTGAGGGAGAATCTGTTGTCCCTGAAGACAGAACTAGGGCAGTGAGCAATGAGATTGGAGCAAAGGCCAAGCTGTGGGAAGACCCAAGTGTTCACGAAGGCGTCAAGAGCAGCCCTCTCCTCTCCTCGGGGAGCGACTTGGACACAGGAAGTGCCCGGGGCCCTCAGAAGAGTCCCTCTGTCACCCACACCTGGCTTCAAGGCAGCACCCTATCGTGGGATTCTGTGGTTTGGGAAGAGGATAAATTCACGTGACAAAAGCCTGGGTCAGACAGAGAGCTTTCCAGAGACCTCTCCCTCTCTCCCCGTATCTCTGTCTCTGTGCCCCTGGGCTGAGATACTCAGAACGATTCATGAGAATAACTAATGAACTGTCTCTGGAAGGCTGATGCCCCCCTGGCACAGTGGAGCCTTCTTTTTCTTTCACACTGGCCACAGTGTGACGTGCGGCACCCTAGATCTGGGGAAAGCAGATTTCACAGGGTTCAAAGGACACACAGGGAGGATCCCGTGAGCCAGAATCAAGAGCTACACGGTAATCAGCCCATCCCCCGGCGCCCCAGCCCCTCGCCTCACCTTGAGGATCAACTCCACCACCTCAGTGTGCACCAGCCCATGCACAGGTTCGCCGTTGACATGCGTGATGAGATCGCCCTCCCGCAGTCCTGCCTCGCTGGCCGGGCCCCCGTCCTCCACGTGCTGCCTCCAACGAGAGACCAGCTCTGAGCTCTTCCCTGCCTCCTGCTCCCTGGCAGCCCTAGGCTTCCCCCATCTCCTGATGGCCCAGGATGACTAAGGCTGCCCGCGCCACTCTGGGGACAGGACACCGTGGGTAGACGGCTTGGGCCCAGCCTGCCCCAGGGTCCTCCCCCTGCCAGCCGGGCCCAGCCGGCCCCCACACACATACCCAGACCACATGCTGCACGGTGTAAACGTCGGTGTCCCCCATGTAGACCCGGATGGCTCGCAGGGTGAAGCCGTACTTCTTGGCAGCTCGGTGAATGACAATGGGTGGCTTCAGGCTGCTGATGGCCGGAGAGAAGTCTCTGCTTGGGGATGAGTCCCGGGACGAGGGATTGGATGACTGGGAGTGGGGGGACATTGGGCTGGCCAAGGGGGAGCATCCATGGTGGTCTGGAGCAGAAACATGGACCCAGTAAGTCACCTCCCCGCCCGTCCCACCCATTCCCCACTTCAGGCACCTCTGATACCCACAGGCCCTAGCTGGTGGTGCCTGCCCCCAGGGCCATCACCACACACACACACACACACACACACACACACACACACACACGCATAGACAACAGCATCCCTCCAGTCACGGATCCACAGACACACAGAGGAAGAATACCTGGGCTGGCCCCGGGCCCTGGATTGCCCTCACCTGAGGGGATGAGAAGGGACAGGGCGGTGGCTGAGGCCGACTTGATGACTTTGTTGGCGGGCCTGGGCGTGCGCTTGTCTCCAGACTCCCCGGACAGCAGCCGGTGACGTGCCCGCCGCACAGCCAGGTCGCTGATGGCCTTAGGCGTGGAGCTCTCCAGGCCCTCGTGGCTGTCCCAGCGGCCTTGCTGGGCACACACACTCACAGGACTCCCACCTACAGGGGCAGTCGTGAGAGATCAGACCCCCTAGTCAATCCCTGGTGATCGGGCACCTTTAGAGGCGCTGGGCTGAGCCCAGGGGCAGAGACATGGGACTCTTACAAATGTCTCAGGAGCCCCCTGCTAAGTTCTGCTTCCCATCCCCCCCACAACCACAGGGCAGTTCTTGGATAGGTGCCCCACGCCCCAGAAAGACACTGGCAGTTCAGGTAGTCACTGAAGGAGTTGGCACTGGACCTGGCTCCTTGTCCCCCTGGCCTTTGCGCTCTCCCAGCTGCTCGGGAGCGGATCCGGGCCCTCCCTCTCTGGGCTGTGGAGTCAGGAAAGCTGTGCCCTCTGTCAGCTGCTGGCTCTGCTGAGGGCTGCTGCCTGCCTCGTCAGATGCGTCTGGGAAGCGGGGCGCATCCAGCGCCCCTGAACAGCGCCGCCGCACCCCAAGAGGGGGGCTGGAGTCGCTCTCCGTGTGGGAGGATTCAGACACTGACAGTCGCTTCCGCAATCTGCAGGGGAAGACAGAATCTGGGTGCACATTCCCTCCCTCCCTAGGGGTCACCCCGAGGCATTCACCAGCAGCTCCCCCAGAACTGGCCAAGCCCTGTCTGGGTGCCCAGCACATCGTCTCCCTCGCCCACACCGAGCCCTCCTACTCACATTTCAGGGGAGCCGATCACCCAGCCTTTGCCCTTGAGGCCACTGAGACCGTCCAGCTTGTCGTCCTTCTCCTCACTGAGGCTGCGCTTGGTGGGGGGCGGGGTCCTGCGCTCCTCCAGCAGGGAGAGTCTCTCTAGGCTGCTGGACACCTACGGGGTGGGCAGGCAGAGGTCGGGGGCAGCAGAGGACGATGAACGAGGGGTGATGGGGAAAGCAGCAAGGCCGGCCAGCAGCACAGAGGGCCCAGGGGAGCTCCCCTTTACTGTAGATCCCACTGACACGGATGCATGACTCCCCACAGGAGCACGCGTTCTACAGCTCATGTGAGGGTGGCACCCACCAGGGACATGGGACAGACGGCAGGACGAGGGGACGAGGGATTCAAGGGACATTGGGAGGGTAAGATGGAAGTGGTGAGCCAGAGGAGCGGGAGGGGGTGCTCGCGGAGGCAGAATCGTTCTAGGGGAGTGACCATGGCCAAGTGCGCTGCAGGAGAGGGTGAAGGGCTGCTGCTGTGGGGATGGGGACGTCAACACATACACTGACACCCCCAGTACAAAAACAGGGCTGTGGCCCACCAATACCTAAGGGCCCTTCCAGCCCTAAATCTCAGGATGCCCACGGGCCTGGCCACACCTCTCCCGGTCCCTGAGATGGCTGCGGGCTCCAGGGTAAGCCAGGCCGGTCCTTCCTCTCCCCTCCAGCTTTGCCTTTGTGCTCCCACCAGGCTAGAATCCCCTCCCAGTGCCTTCTGGGCACCCCCAGTCTTGGGCTGACTAGCCCCAGACCCTCTGGAGATGCTCCAAGCCCCATACCTTGCTAAACCTCGGGGAGCATGAAGAGAACTGACGGATTTCCACATGGTCATCATCGTTGGCATCATCTTCATCCTCTGAATCCACATGTCGGTAACGTTCTGAGCGAGCTGCGACAGAAACATGGGCAGGCTAGGCTGAGGAAGAGTTCAGCCCTCCTGGCAGAGGCGCCGGGGGGAGGGTGGTGGTGGAGGGCTGCCCCAGTGAGTCTGGGAGCCCTGGAGGGCTGGGAGCACCTTGGGCTCTGACTTCATCACATCCTCCTGCAAACAAGTGTCCCCGTCCCGATCCTAGGGGTATCCTGGGTGGGGGGGAAGGGTGTGGACCAGAGTGTGGTTCTCAGTGTCGGATGATGGCAGCTTAGATGAGGAGGGGTGTCTGATTGCCCAATGTGCCTGGCTGGGCATGAGGCCTCACTCAGGGTGGGCCTCCTGGTGGGAATTGAGCAAAAGGAGGCTTGGAACTCAGCGGGGCCAGGAGCCAAAGCAGCTACAGGGAGAGGAGAGGGGCTCACATGCAGGCTCTGGAGAGCTAGACCTCATCCTGGCTCTAACACTTTCTAGTTCTGGACAAGACACATTCCCCTGAGCTGCCCCCACCTCATCTATGAAACAGCTAACGGGCAGCCGATGCCCCGCGTGGGGATGGTGAGAAAACAGCCTGTGGCCCCAGGTGGGCCCAGTGAACGACACCCTTGTGTCCTGAAAGAGCCACAGCAGGGGGGAAGGCTGGGTCACTGCCAGGGCTCGGAGAATGGGGCAGGGGCCAGGAGGGAGGCAAACGTTGGCTTCCCTAGATGGGAGAACAGTAAAGTAGATTTGGAGTCACTGCGTGGTCAGACCCAGTGACCAACTGGGCAGAAGGTCTCCAGGGGAGTGACCCAGGGATCGCACTTGGCCCAGCACCGTCCCACGCTTCTCACAACGACCGGCAGAGAGGCCTCAATGGCCAGCTCAGATTGGCAGATGCCAACGTCGGGAGGCAGAGAGGGATCCAAAAGGATCCTGGCAGGCCCCTGAGAACTGGGCTGGACTGATGAAGATGAAATTCAACAGGGATGAATGTCAAGTCTCTCACGTGGGTTATACGGAAATCAAGGCCCCCATCCGGAACACTGGTCAATTCTGGGAGCACTGATAAGCTGGAGACCATCCAGAGGACGGCAACCTGGGTCAGGACTGGCCGTGAGCCCAGACCACGGGAGGATCTGCTGGACGTGTTTACTCCAGAGAAGACCAGGGGGGATGGCCACAGAGGGTAGCCCCAGGAGAGAAGGGGGAGGCATGGAGAGGCTGACAAAGGCTGGAAGTTCAGGACAAACTGCCCCCCAGGGTGGAACGGGCTGCTGAGGAAGGGGTTGGGGATGCCCTCCACTAGGTCTGCCTTCACGAGGCTTCCGTTTCTGTGTGGGGTGGGCCAGATGCTGCTGAGCTCCTGCCAACTCTCAAATTCTGGGATTCCATGAGCACGGTGACAGGAAACCTTGGCCTGAAGCCCCCACCCCAAACACAGGTCACAGCCCCGCCATGATTAACTAAGCAGTTCTGGGAGCGTCCCAAGGCCCCAAGAGACTCCAGGAAGCGGCGGGGTGGGAGGGCCGGGGTCTTCCTACCGCCCAGCCCAGCATGCCTACGCTGGGGCGCCTTCGTGTAGCCTATTCAGTCACAGCTTAAAAACAGCAAGAAGCAGGAGAGGGAAAGCCAAGACCACAGAGAGCTTGGGAAGAGGTGGACAGAGAGCGCTGGGCCTGTCATCATGGGGACCCAAGTTCTCGTTTGACCTCAGACCCTTACTAGTTGTGGAACCCTAGGCAAGTCATTTCACCTCTGTCCAACTCAGTTTTCTCAGCTGTAAAATGGGGATCAAATGAGATCACGTTTGTAACGTGACTTGCAAACCTTGCACTGCTATATATACACTGCTACCATGAGTACTACTACTAGTCCTCCTCCTCTCATCCTCAAGATGGAGCTGGAAAGAGGAGAAGAACAAACAAAGAGCAGCCAGCTGGGGGCTCTCAACACCCGTGTGTGTGCACACACAGAGGGGCAGCTGGGCATGCAGTCATACCGCCAACCAACAGGCTGGAAGGTGGGGATGAGCTAAGCCCCAGGGGAGACAGCAGGCAGGCCCAGGCCCCCCGGCCCCCCAGGCCCAGGCCCCCCAGCCCCCCCGCCCCCCGGCCCTTACTGTCAAAGTAGCTCGTGTCGTCCTCAGACTCCAGCTGTGGAATGAACTCGGCCTTCTGACGCAGCAGGCCCGTCCAGTCCAGGTCCTTGAAGAAACGATGCTGCCTCACCTCGCTGGCGCTGCCTGCAAAGGGGCGCGGTGTGGTCAGAGGGGAGAGAGGACAGCCGCAGCCTCAGACCAGCGCAGAAAGGGAGGGAAGCTAGGGGCCAGTGAGCCACAAGCTCTGGGCCTGGCCAGGAGAGCACGAGCCCCAAACCGACCAGGGTCTCTGCGAAAGCAGTCCACGAGACAGGCCTTGTGGCTGGCATCCTGGGTCACAGCCATGCCCTTGCCCTCGCTGCTCAGCCCTGGCTGTCACCCGTAGCCTACCTGTGCCCATCCTCTCCAAAGGGTTCTGGTGCAGCAGCTTGGAGGTGAGGTCCTGGGCATCAGGAGGGAGGGCGTCGTCACCCTCAGGCCACGCAATCTCATCTGAGGAGAGGAGGAGCAGGGATATGTCGGGGGGGGGGGGGGGGGGGGGCAGGGATGCTGGAAGCAGAAGGCAGGTCCCACGAGGCGGCACCACCCTTGGTCTCCCCTGGTTCTACCACAGGTTGGCTGCCCAGCATTCAGTCTTGTCCCAGACCACCTCCCACTCCCCATGCCACCTAGAGGCCACTGGCCAGGTGGGTGTGACCGTTCCCCGCCTCCCCTCCCTCTGCACGGCCCACAACTTACCACTGATCACTTGTCCAAACAGCTCCTCTGGAGTGTCCCCGAAGAAAGGGACACAGCCCACGAGGAATTCATAAAGGATGATGCCCATGGCCCACCAGTCCACTGGCTTCCCATAGCCTTGCCTCAGGATCACCTCAGGAGCGATGTACTCAGGGGTCCCACACACCTGGGCATAGGACAAAGATCACTATCATGGCTTTTACCATCATCATTATTATGTCCATTTTACAGATAAGGAAAATGGGGCTCCGAGGTCGTCACACAGCTAGTGAATGACCTGAATTCAAATCTTGGCTCAGATATTTCCAAGCTGTGTGACCCTGGGCAAGTCACTGAACTTCTGCTGGCCTCAGTTTCCTCAGCTGTAAAATGAGGATAACAATATTTGTGAGATCCCATGTAAAGCACCTGGCAAACCTTCAAGTGCCCTCCAGACACTGGTTCTCCCCATTATCATTTCAGTGCCTGGATTCAAACCCAGCTCATCTTTCCCGACTCCAAGCCCAGGTGAGTTAAGGCCCTGGCCCCCATACCCCAACTGTTTTGGTAGCAAATATACTGCAATGCCCATGGGAGAGTCCTCTCCCTGAGCCATACGGGGCTAGGTCCTGGACTGGCGTCAGGGGACCTGGGTTCTAATGCTGACTTCCTTTCAAAGTCACTGAAAGACTGTGGGCAAGTCACGTGCCCATCTAAGACACTGGGCCTCTTGGTGCCTAAACTAATTCCAGCGCCTAAGCTCCCAAAGTCTATCAAGGTTACACAGTATCTGCTGACTTCAGTTAGCACTATGTGTGTATGCGTTTGGGGGGAGGGGGGCTGAGGAGGAAGAGAGACAGCCTGGGCTCAACAGTGACCCCACAGAGCACCCTCCCTGCACCAGGCCAGGCTCCTCGAAGCTGGCTCTGCTTTGTTCTGGGATCCTGCCTGCTAGTTCCTTGCCATCTACCACCATGGTTTGGGGTGCTGTCTCCTCTCAAGAGGCCGCCGATATCCCTTGTTTAAGACAGGACCCTGCACTGCCACGGAGAGTGCAGTGATGGGACTTTCCTATGATGCTCCTCAGAGCCCCGGCCTCCCTGCTCATGGCACAGTCCTGGCATCCCCTGCCCGTCTCCATACACCTACTCGGCTAATCCCTGGGTGCAGATGGCACCAAGAGCTGCTTCACAGATGCCCCCCACAATAGCAGTGATTACTCAAATGGCTCCAACCCTTATCCTCCCTTCCATTCTTTTTTGAGACCAGTTTGAGTTCTGGAATAAGAGTTGGCGCAGAGGGCAGTGAGGGGCTGACCTCAGAGTCGGGAAGACCTGAACACACGTCCTACTTTGGCCATATCCTGGTGAGTGACCACAGGCAAGTCACTGACCCTCGTGGTGCCCCAGCTGGGAGCTCCCTAAGCTAACGGCACCCTAGAGCTTGGCATAGTGGAGACGGCGCCAGCTTGGCACTCAGGAAGACCTCATGGAATCCCCTGGATGCCACTGCCCACAGACCCTGTGAGCTGCCATAAAACAGTGACCCTTTATTCCCCTGACAAGCGGGCACCTACCCTTTCCTGGCAGACATCCAGAGCGGGGAAGCCCATTACAGCTAACCAGGCATCCCCCTCCACTTTGGGCTCTGCCAAGACTTAATTTACCCCTTGCAGCCCCCACCCCATGCTCCTGGTTCTGCCCCTGGGAGCCAGGCAGAACAGCTTCAGATGCTTCTCCCACAGGCCAGAGAATCTAAAATCTTTCCCCTAGGTTAGCTAGGAGCCTCTAAGCCTGGGACTCCTGGCCCTTTCCCGCCCTGTTTGCCTTCTCCAGATGCCCTCCCAGTTCTTCATTCCCAGCACCATCCACAGTACCCACCATGGGCTCAGGCCAGGGTGGCCTGGGACCACATCACACTGCTAACTCCTAGGGAGCCTGCAGTCCACAAAGTCCCCCAAGGTGGGCACACCCTACCCCAATCTGGTGTTTGTGAAGAACCATGGAGGCCAAAGGCTGGACTTTTGACTCAATCCTACTAAATTTCCCCTTATTACGGGGCCCAATGCTCTTGCCCAACAAGACAGTTTTGGAGCCTGGTTCCCCCTCTCCCTCCCCACTAGGCATCGGCTGGAGATGCGATCAGCAAGCCTTCTATGCCCTCTTCTTGCTCGGTGTTTGACCAGAAGCAAGTCACAGCACCACCCCCCGCCCTGGAAGAAGCTGCCACCAGGCTGAGCGTTTTACGAGGTTTCAAGGCACAGCACAAGAGGCAGCCCAGCGTGGTGGGAGGTGAGCTGGCCCCCAGCTCTGTCTCTCACACATCCTGACGAGACACTCATCCACTCACAGCACTAAGGAGCTCTCTGGGAGTCCAACCTTCTCAGTTTCGTCCTATGGGACTTCCCTGTACCAGGGACTTCCCAGGTGGGGTCCCTGTGCCCAACCCCGTCCAGGGCCTCGGGCCCTCTCCTCTCCCATCTTCCTCCTCAGCAGCCAGCCCAAGCCAGGCCGACCATGGCAGGGCGTTCCAGAGCTACTCACCTGCTTGTCCAGGAACTCCCGGGCATCCTTCTCAATGTGGCCCTCATACAGGTTTGTGGTCAGGCTCATGAGGCCTATTTTGGAGAGCCCAAAGTCGGTCAGTTTGATGTGACCCATGGATGTTATCAGGAGGCTGGAGACAGAAACAAACCTGGCTCAGGCCTTCACCTGCCCTGCGCTGAGATGCTGCACCCCCCAGCCTGCAATGCCCCACCCCATGCAGGCACCCAGATGTGCAGCTATGCCCAGCTCCCAACATGGCAGCTGACAGACAATGGCCTGTTCACAGCGGCCATGCCCAGCAGGCAGGAGTCCGTGCAGGGCCAGTCTGTGCAGAGGCCTGGGGAGTGGCCGACCGCTGGACTGCAGCAGGCTGGAGGCAGCCCCACAGAAGCTCCTTACTTGTCAGGCTTGAGGTCCCGGTGCACAATGCCATAGTTGTGCAGATATTCCAACGCCAGCACAGTCTCGGCAAAGTACATGCGTGCCATGTCGACGGGCAGGGCCCCGATGTTCTTCAGCAGTGTGGCACAGTCACCCCCTGCAATGACAGCGCCTCACTCGCTATGACCCACTGTAGTTTTGACACCTCCCAGCGTCTAAACAAAGCTTGGGTATGACAATGGCCGGTAGCCTTCCTCGGGTGCCCACTCTGGGTCAAGCACAGGACTAGCAAAGACCCATTCCTCAGGGAACAGCCTACTTGGCTCTCCCTGGGCCACACGTGTAGAGGGGTATCTGATGGCGCAGTGGAGAGAGTGTCGGGCTGAAATCAGGAAGACCCGAGTTCAAATCTGGCCTTAAACCCTTCCTAGCTGCATGACTCTAGGCAAGTTAGTTAACCTCTGACTGCCTCAGCTTCTTCAACTGTAAAATGGAGATAATGATAGTACCTACCAACCAGGGTTGCTGTGATATCAAAATGAGATAATACTTGCTCTTAGCACAGTGCCTGGTATGCAGTAGGTGCTATACAAATGTTAGTTATTTTGAGGCAGCTAGGTGGTACAGTGGATAGAACAATGTGCCTGGAATCAGCAAGGCCTGAGTTCAAATCCAGTCTCAGACCTTTCCGAGCTGTGTGACCTTGGGCAAGTCACAACCTCTGTTTGCCTCGGTTTCTTCATCTATAAAATAAGGATGATAACAGCAACAGCATCTACCTTGCAGGGTTGTTGGAGGGAACAAATGAGGCAATATTTGTAAAGTGCCACACGCACAAGGGGCTGCAGAAATACTTCCCTTTCCCACATCAAAAGCTGAACATTTTTTCTAGGACATATGACCCTTGACCTCTTGACCTCATTGACCCACTGACCACTTGCCTCCTGGAGCTGGGCCCTCCCCTAGCTCTTCTAACTCTCCGGCTCCTCTAATCAACAAAATGATACAAAAGGCAAAGCTTGCCACCCTCTTGGGAGACTCCTGCGGCTCCCCTGGGCTTGTACCATCTCCAGGAGACAATGGGAATCCAGCCCCACATCACCCGGACCTCTGTCCGAGTCTCACACCCAGTCTGTCCCCAACCGAACTCCCCTGCTGCCCTCTGACGGCTGAGGGCTCTGCCGTGGCTCCCCTCACCACCCCTCACCCCACACACAACCTGGTGCCTGGCCTAATTGTCTCTGCCTCCACAATAAAGCCCAGACCGGACCCTGACCCCCAGGGCCGCAGGCCCTCACCACCTCCCCCCTGGACTGGTCTCCCAGCCTACCTCTGTGCCCCCACGGCCTCCCCCAACAGCCCCGACACACTCTGAGCCCCGGGAGGCTGCCCCTCCAGACGGCACTGACTCCAGCACCATGGGTGCAGGCGGGGCCGCCTACCTTCCACGTACTCCATGACCATGCACAGGTGGCGCCTGGTCTCGAAGGAGCAGAACATGCTGACGACAAAGGGGTTCTCGGCAAAGGTGAGGATGTCGCGCTCCACGAACGCCTGCTGGATCTGGTTGCGCAGGATGAGGTTTTGCTTGTTGACCTTCTTCATGGCAAAGCGCTGGCGGGTGGACCTGTGGCGTACCAGGAATACAGCCCTGCAAAGCACGACGTGGCCTCAGCGGGATGACGCTGCCCCATGCCGCCCCAACCTGCCCCGCCACCGTTGGCCTAGAAGGCAGGAGCTCCTCAGATCCTCAGAGTGAGGAGGGGCGATGGGCAGGTGCAGTGATCCTAGTCACAAGCCCCAGCCTGGGCCCCAGAGCCGATAAACACGGATGAAGCACCTACTACGCGCTGAGCACTGCGCCAGGCGAGTGCTCGGGATACAAGGACGATGAAAGAGCTGGTTCTATTCACAAAGGGCTGGCGCTCCAAGAAGAGGCAACAAGGCCACCCCGGGCACTGGGCACAGAGCCTAGCACATAGGAAGTGCTAAACCAGTGTTTATGGACTGACTAATAAACGGCATCATCTATACAAATATGGGGTGTCCCAAAAGTCCCAGTGCCATCTGAAGCTTTTCACAAGACAACTGGATGCAGGGCAGGTGAGGGTGGGGCACTAACAGGTGGGGAATCAGGAGGAGCTCTAGGCACCAGGCGCCAGAGCTATATCTGGAGGAAGGAGCCAGAGGGGAGGAAGAGAGGGCATCCCAGGAATGAGGGAGGACCAGTGCAAAGGCCTGGAGGTAGGAGACGGCCTGGAGGGAAGGCTAGTCTGGCTGGACTGCGAAAAGGGCCAACAGACAAGTCAGGGCCAGGCCACAAAGGCCTTCAAAAGCCAAAGAGAAGAGTAAGAGGGAAGAGAGCACCCAGAGTTTATAGGAAAGGGTTACAAGGTCAGATGAGTCCTACAGGAGAGCCCTGCAGCAGCACCAAGGGAACCAGACCAGAGCGGCTACTCCTGGGAGGTAGTGACTCGTGGCCTCTCAGTGACAGCACCTTCAGGCCAGTCAGTCTTTGTACCGATTCCCACTAAGGACACTGTCCCCTTCCCTGCCTCACAGGAAGGGTCAGCCCAGGACACCAGGGAGCTGGCCTCCCAGCTCTAGTCACCTGCCAGAACACGGGTTCTGGGGCCAAAGCATGCCCCTGGTTCCAGCCACACGGGGTTTGGGACAGCACGTGGGGCCTGGCCCCAGACCGACCTCCACACACCCCCTCCCTGCCCCTTAAGAGAGGCCAATGGTCCTGTACACCACTACACACTCATGCTGAAGACCCTGCCAGAGATGACCACTTCAGAAGGGATAGGTGGAGTTTTCATCCACAGAAAGGTGCAGGCCCAACTCGGGAACAAGAACAAGGTTGAGGGCAGAGCCCCCAGAGGCTCCAGGGCCAGGATGGACCACAGCTTTGGAGAAGCCTTCCTGACTGATGGAGTGTCTGGGACAGGAGTGCCCTCGCCAGCTTCCGGACACCAAATGCACTTGGGGGTCACTGGCTGGGAGCCCGACAAAACCCTGGAGAGCAGAGAAGTTGGGTCTCCCCAAGACTGGAACCAAGCGGGCCAACACTGGCCTGATTTCCAGACTTCCAGGAGAGGAACAGGGGGGATTCTTCCAGCTCTGAGATAGTGAGCTGGGCCTCAATTCCAGACAAATTCCTAAGACATCTTAAAGGGCTGGCTGATGAGGACTTCAGAAAGGGACAGAAGCATCAATCATACCACAGGGCTGCAGCCTCAAACCTTTCTGACAGCTCACAGGTCTCTGCCCCTGCAGGGCTTAGCCCAGGGCATCACTGGCTAAGGAGAAGCTCCGCATGGCCTGCACACCCAGCTGGCCCCTTCTCTCCCAAGAATCAAAGCCTGGGAAGACCCTCTGGAGCACATCCCTAACCACAGGGCCTGGGTCTGTCCATGCAAAGTCAGGGTGCCCCAGGCCTGCCTAAAGGGCACTGCTGCTGGGCTCGGGCCATGCCAGGGGCAGGGGGCGAGGCACCAGGAAGGCTCCGTACCCGTAGGCGCCATTGCTGATCAGCTTGATTGTCTCAAATTCATCCTCGGACGGCGTCTTCTTGGGCTGCAAAACAGCCCCTCGGCCCTGCAATGCAAGAGGGAAAAACAGAGGGTGCTTCGGCTTTTCCCGAAACCCGATCAATCCACCGGCTTCAGGAGGCGGTGCGCCCAAGGGAGGCCCAGTAGTGACCCCCTCCCACCTGCCCCCCCAGCTGCTCACACCCCCTCATCCCCAACCACAATGCTTCAGGTAAAGATGCAAGGCAGGCCCACAGCCCCACAGCCCACTGACTCCCCAAAAGAAGGAATGGTCTGACTTTTTCATTTGTATTCTCAGTGCCTAGCAGAGAGCTTTGTGCATGGAAGGTGTTTGATAAACCTTGTCCATTCATTCATTCATTCATTCATTCATTCATTCATGTATACCAAGCACTATTCCACTGTCTCCCCTCATACACGGAGATAAGAGACACGTCGCATGTGTCACGTGGGATGTGGCAATGCCCCTCATTCTAGCAACAAGCCACTTTGTTGGGATGGCTTCATTTCAGAAAGGTATCCAGGGCCCGTAAGTGGGGGCATGGCAGAGCAGCTAGAGTCAGGAAGACCTGCATTCAAATCCTGCTTCAGACACTTATGAGCTGTGTGACCCAGGGCAAATCATTTTACCTCTCTCAGACTCAGTTTACCCCTCGGTAAAACGCGCAGGGTTGGAATGAAGTCCCTTTCATCTCTGAATCTATGATCCCTCTCTTGACCCCACCCTGCTGAGCTTCTGCCTACTCAGCAAGCTAGGCCAGGGCTCCAGGACAAGGGGGCAGCCAGGGCCACCCCAAAGATCATTACCTCAACTGAGTCATCTGTCTCAGGAGTGTCTGGGCTGTCGTAGCTGTTCAGCTGGGCCATTTCTGAAGAGGAAGAGAGGGTGGGACACACAAGCTTGAGTGAGAGCGCATGTTCCCAGGGCCCATCCTGACCACAGGCTCCTCTTCAGCACAGACAGAGCTGAATCTATTTAGAGTCAAACCACACAGCCCACTGCCCACAGGAGGAAGCCTGGTGGGAGGTTGGAAGCAGCTGTAGACTTCAATTCCCACTGAGGTGCCTTTCCCTGATCTGGGCAGGTTCTGCCCACACAGAAGCTGCCCCTGGAGCTAACCTGGGACCTTCCCCACCAATAGCCAACAAGACTGGTTTCATGCGAGGAGGGGGAGGCCAGGAAGATATGGAAGCCTATTAGCTTAGGAACTCGTTGAGCAGCCGAGCCTCCAGCCTAGCTCTGGGAGGCCCAGAACACACAGCGACATGACCAGGCTGGCACTGGGGGATTCCCATTCACCCCGGGGCAAGCGGCGTCTGGCTCCCAGGCCCAAGGCCTCCTGACTGCCACGGGCCCTCGCTCCAAGCAGCCCAGCCACCACCTAGCGGTGGCCCTCCCAGCACCTACTGTCCTGGGACCATCCTGGACATCTCCTCCCTGCATGCCATTTCTGTTTGCCCCTTTCCAGTTCAAAGCTGACTCCCTGGGGGCGCCTTCCCTGTGTGGTCCAGCTGCAATGATGCCCAAGAACAATCCTCTCCACCCTAAGTGAAAAGCACCCCCAGCCAGCCTTCTGAGAGCAGGACCGGAGCCCAGACACCAGGCTTGCCTGGGAGCAATGCATCGAAAAGCAACTTCTAGGTATCCCCAGGACGAGGCATCCAACTGCTCCCACTCTCTGGCCCCTGGCACTGGAAGACTGAGGCTAAGGAAAGGGGGAGGCTGCCCATAATCATCAAGGGACCCAGAGGGTGAGGACTCAGTCCACTGGTCCTTCCCCATCCCAGGCCTCATCCCCTAATATCTGGGCTTCAGAATCACCATCTGGTGATGGGAAAAGGCCCTGCCCCTGCCCCCACCCCCATCCAGCCTAGTCCTCTCGGCTGCATACCTCCTGCTTCTCTGACACTACCATGCCCTCTGAAGCCCCAATCTGTCCTCAACCTCAAGCCTTCGCACAATTTCCATCTCCTGGATCTGCCAGACACCTGCCTCCCTTGTAAAGAGCCACCCTCCCAGGGCCCCAGCACCCTGAGCCAGAAGGAAAAGCCCCCACGCCCAAGCCCTCTGTCTTCCATCTTGATGAGGCTCTTGGCACTGAGGTCCACCTCACCATCCAGACCCTTGGGGTCATCTCCTCTCATGTCTCCATCTCGTCTTTTTCAAGGATGACAAGAGATGTCTCCCCACAACCCTCTCTGCTCCAATGCCTGCCCTGCTCCTCAGGGGCTTCTATGATAAATGCTTATCAACTGTCTTGAAACGGCCAGGCCTGGCCCATCAATTTCTCAATGAGATGGGTCACCAGTGCTGGCCAGAGGCCCCTCTGCCTGACACCACCTCCTGCCGGCTTCCTGTTTGCCTGTCCTGGGTCATCTTCACTGTGTGGCCTCCTCTCTCTCTGTGTCTGTCTGTTTCCCTCCCTCCACGGCCTCAGCCTCACACTGCCCTGCCCTTGTCCCCTTCTCCTGTCCCTACTCCCACCTGGCCAAGTCCAGAGCTTGAGGAAGTCTGGTCATCTCCCTTTCAGCCCAGCTGGCCTCCCTCCCTTTTCCTCTGAGCCCCTGTGCCCCTCTCCCCCATGCCCCAGTCTTCTCTTATCCTCTCCGCTTCTTCTCCCCACACTGACCATGCCCCCAATCTGATCTATCTCTTCTTCGCCGACTGACTCTACAAACATGCCCCCAGACACCCCCTCCCCTGCCCAATTCTTCAGTCAATCTCTCCCTGTGCATCTGTTCCTTCCCTGCTGAAAACTAACGTGTCTGGGTCTCCCTCCGTGGACCCTGCTACCCCCTTCTCTCTCCTTTTCTCCTCCCATCTACAGCCAAGCCTCCAGAAAGTGACTTTCCTAAACTCCAAAGTCAGGTCTGCCCAGGTCAACCCCTGCTCCTCCAAGATGAAATATTAAATTCTCTGTGTGGTTTTTAAGACCTTTATAACCTGGTTTCTTCCTGCTCCTCCAGCCTTCTCCCACTTTACTTCCTTCTGTGCACTCTCCAGTGACAACAATTCTCCCAGAAGTTCCCTGAACACACAACTCCATCTCCTACCTCTGGGCCTTTGCAATGGCTGTCCCCCATGCCTGGAATGCCCTCACTCATCTCCACCTCCTAGTCTTAATGGCTTCTGTCAACACTCAGCTCAAATCCCAGGCCCTGTTCCTAGTGCCAAGCACACAGTAGGTGCTTAATAAATGCTTGTTGAAAGTCATTTCCCAATTGATAAATGGTCAAAGGATATGAAATTAAAGCTATCTACAGTCATATGAAAAAATGTTCTAAATCATTATTGATTAGAGAAATGCAAATCAAAACAACTCTGAGGTACCACGTTACACCTATCAGATTGGCCAACAAGACAAAACAGGAAAATGGTAAATGTTGGAGAAGATGTGGGAAAACTGGAACACTAATGCATTGTTGGTGGAGTTGTGAAATGATCCAACCATTTTGGAGAGCAATTTGGAACTATGCCCAAAGGGCTGTAAAAATGTACATACCCATCAATAGCACTTCCAGAGCTGTGTCCCAAAGAGATCATACAAATGGGAAAAGGACCCATGTGTACAAAAATATTTACAGCAACTCTTTTTATGGTGGCTAAGAACTGGAAATTGAGGGGATGCCCATCAACTGGGGAATGACTGAACAAGTTGTGGTATATGAATGTAATGGAATACTATTGTGCTATAAGAAATGATGAACAGGCTGACTTCAGAGAAACCTGGAAAGATTTACATGGACTGAAGCTGAGTAAAGGGAGCAGAACCAGGAGAACGTTATACACAATAACAGCCACATTGTCGATGACTAACTGTGATAGACTTAGCCTTCTCAGCAATGTAAGGATCTAAGACGTCTCCAAAAGTTTCATGATGGAAAATGCTGTCCACATCCAGAGAAAGACTTAGGAGTTAGAATGCAGATCGAAGCATACTATTAGCTATTTTTTTTTCTGGGTTTTTTTTTTTTTTTTTTGGCTAGGCAATGGGGTTAAGTGACTAGCCCAGAGTCACACAGCTAGTAAGTACTATGTGTCTGAGGCCGCATTTGAACTCAGGTCCTCCTGAATCCAGGGCCGGTGCTCTATCCACTGCGCCACCTAACTGCCCCAATCTGTTTTGTTTTCTTTCTTCTTTCTTATGGTTACTCCTATTGGTTCTAATCCTTCTTTACAACATGACTAATGTGAAAATATGTTTAATAGGAATGTATACATAAAGCCTATATCAGATTGCATGCCATCTTGGGGAGGGAGGCAGAGAAGGAGGGAGGAGAAAATTTAGAACTCAAAATCCTATATGGAAGTGATTGCTGACATCTAAAAATAAATAAATGCTTGTTGATTTGACTTGGCCTTCTGCAAGAAGCCTTTGCTGGGGTCTTTCCTCCTCTGTCTAGATTTACAGTAGGCACTTCTCCCTGAGGCCAAGGGCTGGGTTTTGGCCTTGCCTTGGGTCGCCAGGGCCTAGGACACAGAAATGCTCCATGAATGCTTGCTGAAGTAGGACAACTTTGAAGCAAATATATCTAATTTACCATCCCTACACTTTAAACACCAGCAGCCCTATGGAACAGAATCACGTGTTCCTGAATGAGGAGGATGCCCAGGCCTGATGACAGACAGACGAGCCACTCACTGCTGCCTCCAGCGCTCCCTACTCAACTCCAGACACGCCCTTGGGGGCGCCCACCTCAGCTCTGGGCCTTGTGAGCCCCTCCACCTCCCTGGGCTCTCCCCTGATGGCTTCTCCTAGGGTTCCTTGGCAGGATCTTTGTCCATCTCCCGAGCCCGGTTCCAGGCTTCCTCCTCCCTCTCACCAGCTGGCCCGTTCAATGCCTTAGACTGGACGTGGCCAAGACCCCTCAAACTCATCATGTCCAAAACTGGCCCCGGGACCTTTTCCCCCGAACCCTCTCGCTTCCAGACGTCGCTGTTACTGTGGAGTGCCACCCTCCTCCACGTCCCTGGGCTTGGGACCTAAGCCTCCTCACTCCCTCCACTCCCTGATCCAACCAGACACTGTGTCATTCTCTCTCCTATCCAAGCCTTTCTTCCCAGTCCCCCTGCTGCCCCTCAGCCCCCTCTCCAAGGCCTCCTGACTGCAGTCTTGGCCCCTTCCAATCCACACTTGACACAACCACCAAAGGGGGCATGGATGGTGCTGCCTTGGAGTCAGAAAGACCCGAGTGTGAATCCTGCCTCAGACCCCGGGGCAAGTCACTTAAGCTCAGGGCATTAGTTTCCTCATCTATAAAATGGGGATAACAATAGCATCTATTTCCCAATGTTATGTTCTGAGGATCAGGGGAGATACCATGTAAAGCACTATATAAGTGCCAGTTATCATTAATAACGCTGACGGTCACTGTTCTCCTTGTGAAGCGTCCGTGGCTCCCCCTTGCCAACAGGATGACCTATCAGCTTCTCTGGGACAGAGGAGGCTTCCCCCAGCCTCTCTTCACGTGCTCTGTTACAATCAGTCTTGACTTCTTGCCATTTCCTAAGCTCCACACTCCACTTTCCAGCTCTGTGCCTTTGCACTGGCTGTGCCTCCTGCCAGGAATGCAGCCCCTCCCCTCACGCCATCACCAATCCCCTGGCTTTGCCTCCTCTGTGCGGACACTTACCTTCCAAGGGATCCCGCGTGAGGCCCAGCTGGCTGATGATGTAGCGCGGGATGTCACATTTGATCCCCTGGCCCTCCTTGGCATGCCCTTCGGCAGCCTCCAGCAGATGGTAAAACTCCTCAGGGTCAAACTCCTGGAGGGCCGGGGGGCAAGAATGAGACCCCAGACTCCAAGCACTTTTCAGGGCTCGCTGGTCCCAGCCCCCGAAAGAGTAAAGAATGGCAAGTCCCACCTCTCGGGCCTCCCCTGCCCCAAACCACGGGCAGTGTACAGGGTCATGTCCACCTACAGCTGCCTGGGCTGTCCCCGCCTCTCATGTCCTTGCCCAGGCTCTGTGTGACCTTGGCCAGGCATGGCACAGGCCCTCCCAGTGTGTGCCCTGGCCTCTTGGAGGGGCCCCTCACCAGGCACTCCAGGAGCCGGGCAGGCCGGGCCACAATGATCATCAGTTTCTTCACCAGCTGGGTCACGAAGGCCACCTCTGTGCTCTCTGACCGCTCGTGGGCCTGTGGAGACAAGGATGCCGTCATGGACGTGGAAAGCCGCTGGGCAGGGCACGGCAGGGGACTGTGGCCAGTGGGCCACATGCTCCCTGCTTAGCCCTGGACTGCCAGCCCCTGTGAGGAGCTCTCAGTGTCCTAACCAAGGACCCCCACAGGCTCTGGCAGCCAATCCAGGGGGAGAGCAGGGAGGGAGAGGCTGACTTATGCCTTCAATGCTTTGAGACCCACAACCATCATCATCATCATCTCACATTTCTATGGTGTTTTAAGATTTGCAAAGTGCTTTACAAATACCTCATTTTAGGGGCAGCTAGGTGGTACAGTGGATAGAGTACCAGCCCTGGAGTCAGGAGAATCTGGGTTCAAATCCAGCCTCAGACACATAACACTTACTAGCTGCCTGACCCTGGGCAAGTCACTTAACCTCATTGCCTAGCCACCCCCCCGCAAAAAAAAAGAAAGAAAGAAAAAATATCTCATTTTAACCTCACAACCACTCTGGAGGTAAGTAATATTATTATCCCCATTTTATAGGTGAGGAAACTAAGAAAGACAGAGCTGAAGTGACGTGCCCAGGGTCACAGAGCTAGTAAGTATCTGACAGGATTTGAACTCAGCTTCAGCGCTGTGTCTACTGAGCGCCGCACCTGGTGTTTTCCCTGTTTTACAGGTAAGGCCACTGAGGCCTGGGGTTTACTCGGGACATGCCCAGTTCCAATTCCAAATCTCACGCTCTTTCCACAACCTGCTGTCAGGATAGCGAGGCCTGAGCTCCAGCCATGAGGTTTCCCAGCTGGGTGACCCGAGTGACCTCCCTTCTCATAACTTCAGCCTCCTCATCCATAAAAAGGGGAGAACCTTGGCCGAGGATCGCAGACACAGAGACCCGCCGGGCTCCACCTTCCTTCTACATGGCAGTGACATGTTTCACCCCTAAGTATCCGCAGCCAGAGCCACACCAGCTAACCCTGCCTCATCCCAAGCCCCATGAGTCCCAAAGCACACTGGAGCATCCCCAGGGGCCGCATCCTGACCCAGCTGTGAGATATCACATTCTCTCCGTCCTGCCCAGGATTTCCGGATTCCCCTCTAATCTGACTGGAGCTGCTTCAGGGGTGCCATGGGCCGGCCCACACCTGACTCCTCTGGGCTGATGCTCAGAACCACAGCCACCCTGGCTCCTCAGAATCCCTCCCTGGACACCAGCCAGGGCCGGGGGCAGCGCCTGGGCCTGGAGAACAAGGTGAGAGCCGTGGGAGGGTCTGGGGAAGGCCGCGTCCCATTGCCAACTCCTAGAGTGAGTCTGTGGTCCACTGAGGGTCCTAGAGCTTTTTTACAACAAAGGCTGTCCCCTGGGAAGTGGATCATCCTCATCCAATCCCGTCTTAGGAGAATCAGCTCAGGCCTCCAGCCTAACAAATCCTTTTCGGTGTCACCTGTCATAGGGCCAGGCAGAGCCACTTTCCCACAATCTGCCAGAGAGCTATGAATGGCCAGTCATGGGGGCTAGCCAGTCGACCAGGTATACTGTGGTCTAGCTTATGACTCTCCCGCCCTCCTGGGGAGCCTCTGTCCAGTGCTTGGCTAAGCTCTGGGTCCCTCTCAGGCCCTACACTAGCTGGCTGTCTTTCTCAATATTTCACTGCCATCCCTTGGCTGAATCTACCCTAGAGCTTTGCCGGGGGTCAGGGTCAAGATCAGTGACCTCTGAACCCTGGCACAGCCGCTGACTACCTGTGAGACCTTGGGGAGTAAAGGGTTCCCTTGCTCTCGCCGCCCTCCAAACCCTCCACCTTATGGCCTGAAGGCCCAAGCAGAGTGAGGCCCCAGGGCCAGGGCACTCACGTCTTGTAGAAGCTTCTCTAAATTCTCCTGAAGCTCATAGAAGTAGCGGGAGGTAATGAGCCCATCGCGGGACTTGTCCAGGCAGTCCCGGGCCAGCTCAATGACCTGGTGGTGGATGAAGCTCAGGGCCCCGTCCGCCAAGGGCAACACGTTCTCAGCTGCATTCGAGGCAATACACTCCGCCAGCCGTTCCTCCATCTGCGCCGTGGCCTAGGAGCAAAGAGAGCACTCGGAAAAACCTAGCATTGGTGGGAAGACGGGAGGGCAAATGGGGGGCACCTGGATGAGGGGCCGGGGCCTCACCCACCACCCCTCCATTTCCCATGGCTGACCCCAGGTCCAGCATGCACAGCTCTGTCACCTGGCTCAGAAAGTGCTAGCTCCCTTCCAGCCACTGCTCCCATGCCCCCTTCCACGAGCCACCGTCCAGACCCCCCGCCCAGCCTCCCCTGTGTCCGTATCCTGGCTCTACGGGTATGCACAGGGGTTCTCAGCTTGACTTTGGGACACCTCTGCACACACACAGAGCCAGACCGTCGGCTCCACGCAGGCGAGAACCGCTTCCTTCTGTCTCGATTCTGGATGTCCCCAGCAGCCAGCCCGGAGCAGGTGACAGCCGGTCGGTTCAGCCTATGCCCGCACCTGCCCAGGCAGCCCCCGTGACCCCGGGGCCCTGCTGGCCTCTCTGTAACTTCACACGATGGTTCCTGGGTTCTGCTGCTCCTTTTCAGGTCCTTGAGGAAGGTTCTTGCGGGGGTCCCCTCCCTCGCTTCCCCCTCTCCAACCTTCTCTGCAGCCTCTCCTTGCCCAGCCACGAGGAGGCCTTTCCTGGTCCTCCTTAATGCTGCCACCTTCCCTCTGACAGAATGCCCTCCACTTCCCCTGTAGTACCCCGCGAGCTGCTTGGAGGGCTATTCCCAGGTAGTCTTCCACTTAGAACTCTTCAAAGCTACAATTGGGTAAGCTAAGGCCGCTGGTTCCAGCTCCAACAGAGTCTCTGGACCCTGCTTCCCTCCTCTGAGGTCTCTCCAGCTCCACACTGCTTGGGCTGTCCAGCAGTGCCCAGGAGTGCCCAAACCAGGGCAGAGGAGAGCCCGGGAGCCACCTTCCTCCCCTGGCCAGCTGGACCAAGGCTGCCTCGACTTTGCTGGCTGCCACATCACCCCACTGAGACCCCCCCGCCGACTCATCTCGAACTTACAGACCACTGAGACCCAGCCCTGCCCCAACTCATCTCAAGCTTGCAGACCACTGAAACACCCCCCACCTCTACCCTGACCCTTTTCAGGTCTGCCTACGCTGCCTACATATGGAAACAAAAGGGGCTGGACCACAGGTGCTACAAGAGATCCATCCTAGCCCTACACCCCACCAATCTGCCGGAAGTCAGGGTTTAGGACCCCATCCCAGGAGGGAGGGCCCACCATGGGCTTGAGAAGGAGTGAGGAAGCCTTCAGAGCAGAGGTCACCCAGCCTCCTTTGTCTGGTCTGCTAACCACGCAGCACCACCCTCAGCAGAAGCCCCTCTGCTTGTGTGTGTGCCTGAACCATGCTGTCCTCTCTCCCAGACAGGAGGGCCCAGCTAGGGCGGGGCCTGGGGAGGCAGGAATCCCTTGGGGCTGTCCAGGCTTCCTCTTTACCCCTGCCCAGCTTGGAGCCTGGAGCCAGACTTCTAGGAACAACGGTGAGCGCTGGGTCCCTGCCTCACCCTGCTTCGCCCTGCCCATCAGAGTTGCCCTGTCCAATATCCCCCTCATTCCTCATCTGCTCCCTTCAGGGTAAGCACATCCCTCACCCTCCAATGGCCTTGACTTCAGGCTCTTTGCCATCTTGGGCACCTCCTCTGCACGGTCTCTAGCTTATTGCTATTCTCTGAAAAATATGGCGGCCAGAGAGGCAAGTCAACCAGCATCAGGAAGAGCTGAGTAGGACCGTCCGCTCCCTGGTCCTGGAGCCGCAGCCCAAGACTGAATCAGCTTAGATGCTCACTACCTGCATGACCCTGGGCAAATGCCTCAACTACTGTTTGCCTCAGTTTCCTCCTCTGTAAAAAGGAGATGATAACAGCACCTGCGCCTTCTCGGGTGGTCATGAGGATCAAATGAGTTAACATGTGGTAAGTGCTTCAAAGTGCTAGAGAAATGGAAACTATTATTTTGTAATGTTGCTGGGCACATAGCTCTGGCAGGCGCGATGATTCTTCCATTATCGCCACCTTCATCATCATCTTGACAACGTCCTCACGTCTGTCACGGGTGGGCTAGCACGGCGCCACACAGCTGAAGTCCCTGAGGGGTGCCCGATGGCCCCACTTCTCCTCTGCCTGGTCACCAGGAGCCCAGTGTGGCCAGGCCCACTGGCCCAAGCTTCTTGGGCTCATCAGCAGAGGATGCTTGCATCGAGAGCCCCTGTCCAGTCTTCTCCATCTCTGGACTCCCGGCTTCTTCCCTGGCTGGCCCCCTGCATGCCCGGACTTCTCTCTCCTCTCCCCTCTGCCTCCTCCCATCTTCCGCACAAAGCCCTTCCCAGCCCTGCAGTGACAGCCAGGGCCTTCCCTCTGACTCGAGTACCCATCGCACTGTATGTGTCTTAGCCAGACCTAGCTGTCTGCATGCTGTCCCTGTTAGACTGGGAGCTACCGGGGCGCCTTTCTTTGTATCCCCAGCCCTTGGCACGGTGCCTGGCACACAGTGGTGCTTAATAAATACTTCCTGACTCACGCCCTCCTCAGGCCCCCCAGCAGCGCCTTACCTTGGGGAATCTTTCTTTGTACACATGATTCATCATTATTATTTCACTGTCAAAGGAGACTGGGGAACGGCCAGGGCTGAAAGAGAAGGCAAAGGTTATTCTACCACTGGACTGTGGGTCATTCAGGCTAATGAGGCCAGGGCCCAGCAGCTGCCCTTCCCTTAAGTACACAGACCAACCTCCAGATGTGAAACCCATCCTCAGTGCAGCAGCCCCATGGGGGAGAGGAGCAGCAACCCCCCCACTTCTTTCTCCCTGAAGATGGCCAGGCTGTGGCCTGGGGGTGACTAGATCCATGCCCCCATTCAGGCCAGACCCTTCCTCAGGACAAAGCCAGGCCCAGTCCCAGAGGCAGGTGCCTACCTGCAGCTTCTCCCCTGACAGTCTGGCTCATAAACTGAGAAAGGTCTTCACATGAAGAAAACCCATGTTAGCCTCAGGGAAAACCTGTGCCTGTAATATGTGTATGACAGTGTGTGTGCATGCATGCATGTTTGTGCATGAATTGGTGAGTGCATGAGAACAGCATGGGTGTGTGTTTAAATGTACACATGAGTGTGTGGGTCTGTGTACGAGAGTGAGTGTATGTATGGGTTTGCATCAGGGCGTGTGGGGGACTCTGGGACGCCTAGATATGCCTCCCCACCCCCCACCCATGCACAAGCCCCATAGACCCTTCGTGCCATGGCCACACGGCAGGATGCACGGGTCACTGAGGTGTGACTGCCATACCCATGGAGGTGTCAGATCTCCAGGCATGACCCAGAAGCTACGCTAAGGCTAACAGCCCCTCGGCCCAAGTCTGACCGTGTTCTGCCATCCAGTGGGGAGCCAGCCCTGCAGGAGGAGGGGTAGCAAGGAAGAACAAAGACCAAGCTGCCCCACTTCTCCAGGTCCTTCCTCCACACCCCAGGAGCCACTTGCTTCAGGGAGGCCCGGGAGCGGGTCAGAGATGACCAAGGATGAGGCAGGGGCCAGAGCCCCAGCCGGAGAGGGCACGCACCTGAGGCTGCGTGAGCGGGGCCTCATGGCTGGCGACTGGCGGCCCTCCTCGTCTGGGACGCTTTCGCTGCTGAAATGCTTCGTCAGGAAGTGCAGCTCGTCTGCCGTGGGCTGGAAGGGCAGCTGGTGCAGCTTCTCTTGGGAGGAGCAGGATGACTGAGGACAAGAACACAGTAGGTCAGTGCAGGTTTGGGGTGGAAGCAGGAGAACAGCAAACTAGTCCCGGTTCAAGCCGCCACCCCCCTGCCAGGATGCTGGAGAAGCAGTCCTGGGAACAGCAGCCCTGCACCCCAAGGCCACTGGGCACTGGCTATCCTCAGGTCCCCAGTCAGCTGTACCTGCTGGTCACCCAAACCCTCAGCAGCCTGGAAAGCAGCCCAGTAAGCTTTGACTCAGCTTCTCCAAGGCTGACATGCGGATGTCAAGCCCAGCACACGCAGGAGATGTGAGGGGTGAGAAGCCAAATGAGGCCTCCCCACGAGGCTCCCTCTGGAGGGTCCCACATGGGTTACATAAGTACGCAGGGGCCCCAGGCCTGGGCTGCAGGAATGACTCCCTCTCTGTAGCCTCCTGGGTCATTTCATTTGAGTCTCCAAACTTCTAAGGGGGGCACAAAGCTGACCCAGGCACCCCCTTTCAGGCCAGACACATTCTTGTATTACTTCCTAAAGTCAGGCTCTTCTGGGAGGCCACAGGCCTCGGGCTGTCTCTGGCTGCAGGGAATGCGTGTGACCTTCCTGCCTCCCTCTTCCAGGCTGCCTGCCTTTCCCTCTCTCCTGCCAGGGAAAGGGGCCACATCCCACATCCCACGTTTCCTCTACTTGGGTCTGAGAACTCCGCTTTCTGCTCTGAAGTCAGTTTCACTCCTCCTTTCACAAGCTGTATTTTTCCTGCAGATCATCCTGGGATTTCTGTTCCCTAATGCCTGCAGGGCTGCTTGGATTCTGTCCTTCAGCAGTCAAGTCTGGGTCACCTGCTCTCTTACACTTTTGTTCGTTCAATGTTCTTGGGTTCCTCTCAAACGCTTCCCTCATCCTTCCTCCTGCCTTTGTGACCTTGTCTCCTGCTTTGCCTGCTTGGGCACTGTCTGCTTTTCTTCTGCCTTCTCTGGTCCCTCTGCCTTCCCCAGCGGAGCTGCCAGGCCTCCTCAGCCTCCTCCCGCAGGGAGAAGAGTGGCCCCACACGTGGGGCTCTGGGCGCCAGGTAGGCCTTTCGGCCATCCGCCATCCTCTTTTCCTGTCTGGGGTGTCTGTCTGTCTGTCTCTTACTCTCTGTCTCTCTCTCTCATTTAATACATCCAAAGCAGAACTCCTCTGTCCTCTTCAGCCTTGCCCTCTTCCAGACTTCCCTAGACCATCCTCACAGATCCCAGGCCCTGGGGCCCCCCTCAGCCCCAGAGGCAATCACATGACATGTCCAGCCCCAGCCCCTCAGCACCTCTCTCCTAGACCAGGACACTGGCCTTCCCACTGCTCTCACTGGCTCAGCTCTTGTCTTTCTCCAATTCATCCCACACACAGTTCTGAAGGTCACTTTCCTAAAGGTCAAGCCTGACCATGTCACTTCCCTGCTCAAGAACAGCTATAATAAAAGCTAACATCTATAGAGCACCTACCATGTGCCAGGCACTGTGCTATGGGTTTTACAATTATTATCTCATTAGATCCTCACAACAACCTGGGAAGAAGGTGCTATTAATATCCCCATTGTATAGATGAAGAAACTGAGGCAGAGGTGAAGTGACTTGCCCAGGGTCACACAGCTAGTATGTGTCTAAGGCTGGATGTGCACTCAAGTCTCCTTGACTCCAGGTCCACTGCTCTATCCACTGCACCACCCAGCTGCCTTCCCAAGAAGCTCCAATGACTCCCTTTTGCTTTGGAGCCCTCAGTCATGCGCCGAAGCCTTTCCCAGCATGGCTCCCACACACCTCTCCAAGGTTCCCCCATGTTCCTCCCACTCTCACTCCCTACATCCCACCCAAAGTAGCATCTTTGCTCCTCCCTGCCCATGCACAGGCCATCTCTGAGGCCTGCCTTCCTACCTTGGCCACCGCCCTGGGTCCTAAGCCCTTCCATGGCCCTGAGGGAGTGCCCCATCTCACGTTCAGAAAAGCCCAAGCTTGCCTCCTCCCAGAATGGCCTGGCATCCGCTGATGAGGGCAGTTACCTCACAGCCACAGCTGAGAAGGCGCAGGGGCTGGAGAACCACCCAAACCCAGGGGCCTGGGGCCTGCAGCCAGGCCTAGGGACTTACGGAGACAGTAGAGCTAGGGGTGTTGGTGCCATAGCCAGAGGAAGGAAGAGAGGCCAAGGACCAGCGCCGTCCATCCGTCCTGTGACAGAGATACATTAGTGAGACACCACCTAGGAAGCTCGGGGGGACCCTAGGGGGCCCTGCCAGCACCCCTGCTCCATGAGCCTCTGCCCAGGAGGCTCCAGGTAGCCAGGCCTCCCACAGCTCAGTGTGGGGGCCCAGGCCCGGGCAGATTTGGCCCTGACTCAAAGCAGAATGCTCGGTCTGAATCAGTCCAGACTGCACCAGCACCTCCCGCTCTGTCATGCCCACCATGGGTGGCTCCTGGGAAGGCACCATTGCCACTTCAGGGTCTGCTCCCTGCTCCCCACATGGCACCCCTGTCTGCCACCACCTCTGCAGCAACCAGTGTCATCTGGCCCTCCCAATTCAGGGTGGGCAGTTTGCATCTAACAGTGAGAAGCCAATAGGCAGAACAGGGCCACGGCAAGGGCATCCAGGAGAACCATGGGAGTCAGAGCTGGAGAAGAGGATGTTGAGGCCCAGAGAGGACCGAGGGTCCCCTCAGCTTGACTTGGCAGGGCAGAGCCTGTACTCCCAGACACTTATGTACCCCCTTCTCTTCCTCACACCCTCAGTGAACACAGGAAGGACTGACCCTTGAGGATCCCCATGATGTCTCCCCGAAGCCCCACGTGTGGGCCTCCAGGGGCCTAAATGGAGTACAATGAGTCAGAGGCAGAGGGAGATCAGGCTGCATTCCTATCACTTGCTGGCTCTGCTCCCTCCCTCCTTCCAGACGCCTCATACAGCCATGGCCCTTGAGGTTCAACCCTGCCCAACGTGAGCACCAGGCCACACTGGCCACACCTGCTCATCACACTGGGAAGGGTCCCCTGGGAGAAGCACCCTCAGTGTTCATACAGAAGGACCAGCCCAAGGTCCGAGGACAGGCTGAGTGGGGTCCCCTTCTCTGCATGCTCCGTTACGCCCCACCAGTCCACACCAGGATCCATGACGCACCCACCCATGGGAGCAAGGGTCCAAGACCTCAGACCAGGGCAGGTGGCAAGACCTGCACGTCCAGCAGACGCAGATGAGTTTGCCTTCGGCCCTGCCTGCCACCCAGCTGCTGCCCCCTGCCCTGCCACAACAGCTCAAGGACCAACAAGCACCAACATGCCTCATACAAGGTCCCTACAAAGGGGAGGGCTTTGGGCCAGTCCACCTTTAGGAAGCTGACCTAAGAAGGTGGGAGTACAAGGTCATGGCAGACAGGTCCCCAAAGTGAAGACAGGGTCTGGGCAGGGCCAGGGGGCAGAAGAGACATCCCACAGAGCCTGGTTCTGGGGCCTGGCAGGAGGCAGTGCCTTTAGCCACTGGCCTCTCCAACAACCCCTGGACTTCCACCTAGAGCTGGCTAGGATCTTAGCTGGTCCAATGCCCCCATTTTACAGGTGAGGGAAGAGAAGTCCAAAGAGGACAAGGGCCTCACTGGAGGTGCCTCTGTCACAAGTGGCACAGCGGAGATTTGAACCCAGGGTACCAGCTGCTGGCAGAGAGCTTCTTTGGGAAGGAATTGGGGGGAGCCCTGCCATCCTCCTCAGGTGAGACTCAAGAACCCAACTGGGCAGATGGCTATGTCTCACCCCCCCACACCCCATCTCCCACTGCAGGAACTCAACTGACCAGGCCAATTCACTTGTTCCCCAGATGCCCCCTAGTTACCTGTCTGCTCTGTGTCCATGGCTGCTGGAGAGAGATTGGACAGAGGAATGAGAACCAAGGCAAACCAGAGGTCTGCACGCAGCCAGGGAGGCCACGTCCCCACCCCAGAGAGCCACACTCCTGCCCTGGACCTGAGGTGCCACGTGTGGCCAAAAGAACAAAGGGCCTGGTTCCCAGGCCCGAGGACCTGGGAGGACCTGGAGGCACTGCTCTGCTGCAGAGGCTAGGGAGGGGAAGCCTAGAGCAGCTGACGGCCTTGGGCCCATCCACTCAAGGACTGAAATAGCCAGGAAGATGGTCTGATGGAGCACAGTGTGGGGCAGACCCTGGGGGAAGGTGTGGCGCCCTGTAGGGCTGGGGTCTCCAAGGCAACATGGGATCAGTGGACATGCAAGGTTCTACTCTGGCCAGCACCCAGAGTTGCTGCAATGATCCTGTAGGAAGGGTTCCATGCCAGGGCTCACGACATGCAAACATTGGGTCCAAATACGGCCACTCGGTTTTGCCCTGGCCCAAGGGAGAGGAGGCAGGTGCCACCAGAGTGGAGCCCAACCAATGCCAGCTAGGGCAACCCTCTTGGGGCAGGGCACCAACAGAGCCTGACCCAAGGGCATCCTCCCCCCAACCTGTGCCAACTTACCTGCGGGCAGGAACGAAGGAAAAATGTGGGGCTGGAGCATTGGGAGAGAAATTCCGGGGGCTGTCCAGAGGACTCCCACCTGTGGGGAGGACAGAAAAGGGTGCTCAGTTCTGGGGCTACCTTGGAGAGGGTTCGAGCCTTGAGCCAGGCAGTGAATGCAGCAGCAGAGGCCATGTCCCAGCAGGCCTGGCCCTCCCCAGACAGGCTGGCCTCCCTCCAGGAATCAGTAAGGCCCCCACCTGCCACCCTTTAGGCCCAGGCCAAGTCTGCACAGCCCTCGGGGCTCACACCAGCTGCATAAATGCCTCTGGGACCGCTGGCTGAGCCAGCCACAGTGCTCCTGGTCTGGAATGGCCCCATCTCTTGGCCCCCTGAGGACCTTAAAAATCTGCCTACCCCCCCCAACTGGCAATATGTGACAGGCAGGGAAGGTCAATGAGCCGTGCCCACCCACAGGTACAAAGATAGCCAGCACTGCAGTTGTTTACGGGGAGCCACAGACAGCTCTGGCTACCAGAAGGGAGGAAGGGGGAGGAAGGGGGAGAAAGGGGCAGCACCTGACTCGAGGCTGCATGGTTAGATTTTGGGGGCGGGGGCGGAGCTGAAAGATGGGAGCTGGCTCAGGAAGAAGTAGGGAACCAGCATTCATTAGGCACCTTCTATATGCCCAGTGCTTCATAACCAGGATTTCATTTGATCCTCCCAACAACCCTGGGAGGGAGGGGTTGTCTTTCTCCCCACTTTACACAGAAGGAAACAGGCAGATATTGGTAGAGTGACTTGCCCAGAGTCACACAGACAAGAGTTTGAGGCTGGATTTGAACTCAAGTCTTCCTGGCTCCAGGACTGGGGAGATTCTATGCACTGGACCACCTAGGTGCCTAGGGCTGCAGACAAGGGAAAGAAAAGAACCCAGTTTGGCCTGAATATGGGAACCGCCCAAGCCCAGCCTGGACAGAGAAGCTAGAGCCAGACTGGGGAAGGCCTTGAAAGCCACGGTAAGACTTCATATTATGGGCTCTAGGCAATGGGGAAGCCCTGAGGCCTAGAAGCAGAGGAAGGACATCATCATGGCCTGGGTGGAGACAGGTGTGGAGAGCCTGGGAGGGGGCCAAGGAGGCCACCAGCTGAGAGGGAGAGGGCTGGCTTAGAGACAACATGGCGGCTGCTTCTGGCCCTTCGACTGCAGCCCTGATGCAGAAACATCATGGTGCAATGGAGAGAGTCCTGATGCTGGAGTCAGAGGACCTGAGCTCAAATCTTACCTCTGGTGCTTACCCATGTCACCTTGGGGCAAGCTAGTACCCCTCCCTAGGCTTCAGTTTCCTCCTTTGTGAAGATAGGGACTCAGCTTACATGACCTCCAAGGCCTCTGCCAACCTCACGTATACTCCAGTGTCTCCTAAGAAGTCTTAGGAAGGAACAGGTAACTGGCCCAGGGTCACCCAGACCAGCCCGTGGGTGTCCTGACTGTGGATAGGCACAGCCCTTCCTAAGGGATCTCAAGCTCCACGAAGGTAACGCGAAGGGGCTGCCCCACACTTAGGCCCTGAGTCAGGGCCCTTGAGAATCTTCAGGCTAGAAGCAACCTTCTGAGGTCACCTAGGTTAGCCACCACCAGAGACCTTCAGAGACAGAGTTCACTCCTCCCAGGGGCAACCCTTTCTAATGGCTCTGGTGATCTACCAGCTCCGCAGAGACTTCATAGGCCACACGTCCTCCCTCTTGAATGTGGGAGACCACACCGTTCCAGAAAAGAGCCCCACTAGCAAGGCAGGCTGAGAGCCCATTAACTCTATCTTATTCATTCAATGAGCACTTATTAAGCACCTGCTGTGTGCCAGGCACTGTGCTTGGCCTAGGGACACTACAACATAGATAAATAAGCCCAAAGGATCTCCCAGGTAACACAGGGCGCTGTTGTCTTCCTCCCAATCCCAGATGTCTGGCTCTGAGCTGCCTTCCAGCCTGGTCCTTTGGAACAGGCCCCAGGGCAACCTCTCCAGCATCAGCTCACCCAGCCTTACCTGGGCATAAAACTTCCTGTGCAAATATTCACAACAAGCGGCCAGTCAGTCTCCGTTCCCAGGGAACTCACTCTCTATTCCACTCTGGAACAGTGCACACGGTGAGGATGTCCCCCTTGGGACTGAGCCCAAATCTGCTTCTCCCACGAGTGGGTCCCTCCTGGGCCAACCGGAACAAAGCCAATCTCTCTTTGCCATGACAGTTCTTCCAACATTTGAGCACAGCTCTCATGTCACCCTGTCCTAGCCATTTTTGCTAAGCTCAACACCCCCGTTCTTTCACCAGGTGCTGTCTCAGGACACCATCTCAAGGCTCAACCTTCTGGCTCACCACACAGCCAGCCAACACTTCCAGGAGGGGTGGGGGTGGGAGAGGGTGGGCCTTGGCAGCTGAGCACAATTATCACCTCAGAAGCAGGGTGGGAACTTTTATAAGTCCCTGCCTACCCTCCAGGAGGGCAAAGTCCAGGGAGAGTCATGAACCATGCCCCTTGGCATCGAGACAAGCGGGCACACAGGGATGCCAAGAAAGGCTGGTGGGAGCCCAAGCCCCTGGGCTTGCACTGGGGAAGCTAAGGGTCATCAGAGGAGAGATGGAAGGGAGCCAAGGGGGTATCTGGTCGGTGTGATCCTTTCACTTTATAGCTCCCAATCCAGTGGGGAAAGATCCCATGCAGACAAGTATGGCCAAAAGAGACAGACAGGATAAGCTGGAGATAATGACAAGGAAGGCCCTCACTTCTGTGGAAGAGGGTAGTGCCCACGCTGGAACCCCCTTTATTGCCCACAGCAGGCCAGTCTGCTCTGCTGACCACCACCACCCAATTTCCACTCTCCACACCTTTGCCTACGAGGCTCTCCCTTCTGCCTCTGCCATACAGGATACCTCCTCAGCCCAATACCAGTTAATTCGGTCCGTGCTTTCCATCTGGTTTTGTCTTCTCCCCAGAACATAAGCTCCCTGAGGGGAAAGAGGACCTCTCACCTCCACCACACCCAGCACTGAGCCTGCCACACAGGAGCTTACCAGGACTGCCTCTCTCTGGCTGCCTCCTCTTTATTCCTATGGCCAACAATATTGTCACAACCTCAGGACCCGGGCCCCCATCTAGCCTGGGGTTTGGGGGTAGGAGGGGGGAAGCCCCTTGCAAACTCCTCTAACTGCCAGTTTCTGGCCAGTTCTTTCCAGAAGCAAAAGATTTCTTGCACCCCAGGCCTAAATCTTTCTAGTCTGCCAGAGAAGCCTGACCCCAAGTGATGCAAAGAAAGAAGCCCTGACTCTGAAGGCAGAGGCCCTGGGTTCAAGCCCTGCAGCCCCCACTTCCTTCAGTTCACTGGTCAGCCCGTCTGGGGGGGACCCCATTCTGGGCTGGCCCAGGTGCTCTGGATACAGACCCAGTTTGAAACTGCTCCTCAGCTGGCCCACCCATTGCCAGAGGCTACAACCCCCTCCCAGGGGATTACTGGAAGCACTCCCCTCCCCTTGGCTTATGCCCCGCACACAAACCTCCCCTTAGTGTCCTTCAGAGGCCTACCAACACACAGGATGGATACGTGGGGAGTGTAGAGTGGGAAAAGCCTCAGCCAGGTATGGAAGAAAACTATGCCCACGAAAAGCCAAGTAGGTACCTGGGACATGCTGGCCCCACTTCTAGAATGAATGGATATCCCTGGAGTCCCCAGTCACCACTGGACATATTGGCCAGATGTCTCCAGGCCTCCCACCAAGGCAAAGGCAGGACGTCTGGGGATAGGATCCTGCTCAGCAGGGCTGCAGAAGGCCCAAGGAACCCAAGGACCTAGAGGAGCCCTGGTCTGGACACCTAGGCCACACCCAGAAGCTTTCTGGGAACAAGGTCCAACTCCAGCCCAGAAATCAGACTGTTTCCTCCAAATGGGGGGAACACAAGCAGAGAGGAAAAGCTAGGCAAAGTGAGGGGGGGTGAGAATCAAATGTCCTAGGGCACTGGGACTCTCTCCCAGTGCCCTCCCAGAGAAGTGACCCTCAGGACACGGGCAGGAAATCTCCCCACCACCACCACCACCAGCCACGCCCTCAACTCATCTTCCCTCCATAGCTCCACCCTCCAGGTCATCAACCTGGGACTCACCCATGACCTCACCCCAATCCTTTACACTGTAAGATCCCAAGGTTCCACCTCTCCAATCTCTCTTCTATCCTCTCCTTGCTCCCCCTCCATAGGGCTGCCCCCCTAACAATCCAGGGCCTCATCCTCTCTCCCAGACACCTGACTGACCTCTTTGACAACAGTCCCTCCCCTCATAACCGCAGTGTCACACAGCTGACCCCATCACCTATGTCATTTCCCTCTTAAAAAACTTTCAAGGGACAAATCCCAGGGGCAGCGCCAAGATGGCGGAGCAGAGGACGCACTCAGCCCAGCCCTCCCTCCAGACAATTTTAAAAGGACTAGAGGCTATTTGGCAACTCCACTGACTACACTCAATTATTCCAGGCCACAGTTCATAGGCAGAGAGAAACACTTCCAGTCACAAGAGAGCAGGGGCCTTTCATAGGTAAGGACCAGAATGCAGTCCAAAAGAACTGTGACACCACCAGAAAAGCACAGAAAACTTCCAAATCCCCAGAACCAGCTCTGCAAATAGCAGGGCAAAAAAGGCTTGAGGCTTGGGACAGTGTCCTTCCCCCCACCACCAAGAACAGGTTCGAAGTCAAGAAGTCAAAAAATAGGCTGGGAAAATGAGCGAACAAGGAAAAAAAAAAAAGAACCTGACCAAGGTGACAGGGAAGATCGAGACACAAACTTAGAAGACAATGATGTCAAAACAGTTACATGCAAAGCCTCAAAGAAAAAAACACAAACTGAACACAAGCCCAACAAGAATTCCTTGAAGAGCTAAAAAACGACTTCCAAAATCAAATAAGAGTGGTAGAGGAAAACCTATGTAAAGAAAAAAGGGAAGAGAATTATAAAAAGACAATTAATAGGGGTAGCTAGGTGGCACAGTGGATAGAACACCAGCCCTGGAGCCAGGAGGACCTGAGTTCAAATATGGCTTTAGACACTTA